AGAAAGTATGACAGAAAATTTCATATATGCGATTCTGTCAGGATAGGTTTCGTTGAAAAATTTTATAACGATTTTAAATGCATTTTTTTTTTAAAGCGGTCACAGAGATTTACAGTGTTTTTTTTTACTTTCATTTACTTATGTAGGAAATATAAAATATTTATTTTTTTTATTTTCACCTTTCTTTGCCTCTTGGCAACATAGACTTTCGGTAGAGGTAGTGAGTAATTCTACTACTTCTATTCTCTGGTACAAATAAATTATAAAAGCAACACGGACGAAAGGAAGAAGAAGAAATTTTTTAAACTGTTGGATAATAATTTCGTGGAAGAAGTGCTTTCCATTCAAAATGTTTCTAATAATGTATTTACGGATTGATAATACATGTGGCGAATAATTTTTATAACTCGCTTGGATGATAGATTAAAATAATTAAATAATAACAAGCTCTATTTTGGCAGAAGTTTGTTTTTCCAACAATAAATAGGCCAGTAAGTGAAAAATGTGTGATGCACAACACTATAATTTTTTAAGTAGAAAATATCGGGTTGGATTGGATTAAATCAAGTCATCGCCCCATCTATTCTATATTGTTATTTCGTTGCTGGTGACGCCTGAAGTCTACGAAATCAAATAATATACACAAAATTATTTTATTTTGTTTTTTAATTAATAAGAAAAAAATATTGAGCTATTAGAATAATAACATTGAAATAGACAGAAGCATATACGGATCTACTAAACAGAAGATGGGCCTGCGTCTTGGGAAAGTATAACGCTACCAGAATGTATTAGGTGACTCTTAATACTTCTCACTTTAAAAAATAACTTTTATACACTATCTATTAATCCTTCAAAAATTTACTCTCATTAAATGAAAAAAAAAAATTTGTTGAGTACAACCATTCCTTCAGAGCACAACATTGGAAAAGCTGATTCAATGTTTCCATGAACTCGGCTTGTTGATCGAGTCAGAAAGGAATATATTCACATCTTGATAACTGCTTCCGCTTCTTCACTAACAACGAACTCGTCTTGTCAGCGACGATAAGGGACAACTATGACTTCCATTGTCTGCAGAAATATACGAGAGAAAAGAAATATTTACGTCTATGCAGATTGTGGAACGGTTCCTTGAGAACGTATTCATTTTGTGACTAGGAGCCGTTTCCTTAAGGCAGGGGTTATCTTGGGCAGGTCAGAGCGAGCGAGGCTACCATTGGTCCAAGCGGAGCTATCGCTGGGGGCGGGTTATCAGCTCAGATACCCCCGCCCTTGCTCTTTCTACACTCAGCGCTTTGTCTTCGCAAACATACAACTATTTTCAAATAAATAGATGTTGAAGTAATTATGTACTAAATTTTTTTGATTACTAATAAATAAATAAAACACAAGATTAGTTTAAGATTGACAATAATGGACACTTGCCAGCTCAACAAAATACCTTAGACAAACTTTCGTTTGTTGTCATTTGAAAGAGAAATTGATGTCTCAATAAAATCATATAAGTATATCGATAAGCTACATTAAAGTTTTTAGAACCTAGCCATTTGTCTATATATATCTACTTCTACTACTTCAATGAATCGAAAAATGGTCATTATAAGTTATATGAGTTGTTATTATCTCTCTCGTTTTCCCTGCTGTGTGAATAAGTCTATACGTTAGAAAGATTTTTTAAAAATTTATTTGATGAAATTTATAACTATATTAAATATAATTCAACCAATGAACATAACTAGAATAATGACATAAATAAACTTGTCAAGATACTACCCAATGATAACAGTCCCTAAATAGTTGCAAGGAAGTCCCGAGGCCATCTTCTTTTCAGATGACCAGGAGGATTATAAGGAATTGAGGAGGAAGCAAGGTTGGAATTAAGTTGGTCCAGATGGGTCTAGACTCTAGACTGTAAAGCAGGAGTATGGGTCTCCAACAAGTTGAAAAAATAACAATCGGGCACGTTAATAGGTTATGTGTTACGCGTTGGGGCAGTGTTTTTATTCAATGTGAATTTCAGGAGGGTTAATGTTAATAATATTTAAAAAGAAAATGTGAAAATTATCAATAAAAATAAACTTATAGTAACAGATATCTTTATTACTTCCTACTTACTTACATTATAGGCGTTTCAACAAAGGAAGTTTATAGGAAACAATAACATATTCAACCAATCATCCTCCTGCAGACCTCGGCCAGCCATTCTCTCTTGGACTCCCTCCATCCACCTGTTTCTGGGCCATTCGCATCCTCAATCCTCGCTCGTACAATTTTTGGTGGTTTATTATTTCTAGAACTAATGAAAAAATGTTTCTTCAGGAAAGGTGAAAAGACCAAGTGTAATGAATGTTATTAATTTTATTTATTTCTCTTATGTTAGATTAACACATTTTGAAATTATTTTAACTAGGTATGAAATCAGTATAATGCAGTGTTATCAATAGTGCCATTCATACACTTTTTTTATCTATCAAAGAAATAGATTAAACAATATTGATGATATTATTTCGATAAATAAATTATCATCTTCGGATAATTAATTTAATAGTTTAGATTTTATGTCTATAAATTCCTGGTAAATTTTTAAGTATACATTTATTTAAGAAAAAATTTGTACAACACTTGAGTTGAAAACTCATCCATCTGCAGCATGCCACGTAAAACAATAATGATGATTGAAAAATAAATTAATTTTTACAAAGTAATTGCTTGTATTTACAATCAATTATTATATACTTATTACAATATAGACGACATTTTATTGAAAACTTTTCCACAATTCCAAACTATTGCCAAGGCTATCGTCCATAAAGGTAATGTTAGACATTGCCAGGCACAAGTTTGCTAGAGTTTTCTTAGTTGGAGACATATAGAACATTTGAATCTTTATATTTAGGCCTTATTATTTCCATGTAAATGACGATAATAATATGACTTGTAATCAATTGAATACTTGGAGTGTATGTCCAGTAAGTGTTGGAACAGCCGGCAACGTCGAGCAGTTCCTGCTCTTTTTCTCTTGAATCCAAGTAAGAAGTTCGACCAATTTTTTTACAGTATCGGGAAATGATCACAATTGATATAAATTAAAAGGGCCATATTTCGTGTTATAATTTTATTCCCTATGGCAATAGATTTAAGGATACTGAATACTATGGAATTAATGCTTCTTATCGAAAACGAGAATTTTTAAGTTTTGTTAATTTTTATTCAGTTTCTTAATATTTATTTATGATTTATAAAACATATGCGAAAGTTGTGGGTGGAATACGATAAAATTGATAAAGCACCATTTTTTTCACTAATTCCGAACTTACCTGCAATTTAGAACCAAATCGAACGAACCATCTAGATACTAACCCAAACGATTGTGTTATGATTATTATCGTGTTTCGTACTTAAAATACAGCAGAAAAGTAATAGTTTTATGGATTTTAAGAAACCAATTTTTTCATTAATGACATATGATTCTTTTGCCTCACTACCGAATTCGCGTTTTACGTTTCAGACATCAAGGATCAAATGTGGTTCCGTTTCAGTCTATCTGTAGTAAAAACGTTGAAACGGACATATCACCTACTACCGTTTATCCGATTGTCATGAAATTTTCAGAGATTGTGCGGATTGTTATCTAGATTTTCCCATATCGATATGATTAAATTCTAACCAGCATTTCCGACAGCGGACGCACAAACGCATTTTTGTTTTGTTTTGAATTTAAGGATTGGTAAACGTAAAATGAAACAGGCATCAATTTTATCAAATTCTATCTAATACTAAAAAAAAAAAAAACTTCCACTTTCAAATGAGAAAATGTGTTATTTGATATGCCTATAGTTTGATAACGGCGTATTCGATTTGACTCAAACTTGAAGGAAATTGGGAGAACACTAAAGAAATTACTTTGTATCAATTTCATTGAATTCCAATTTAATAATTAAAATTAATACAAATACTTGTTAACAATAAAATGGCTGGGAAATGTGGAAGGTACTGATCATATGGAGTGGGAGTTATATAGGTTATTTCAAAATTGTTATGGGATTATACAATTTTAGGTTTTATTCAAAAAATAATTTATACTGTATTGTTTCGTCAAACGTTACTGGCATGGCAATTATTGCTGTTACATAGATTTCGTGTAATTTCCAGTACATTTAATGTAATTTTTACTCTGAATTTACATAAAAATAAAAAAAGTCTTATTTATGATCATGTTTATTTCCATGGAATTTCAATCAGCTCGTCGTGGTCTTGATTTTCTCTTTAAATATCAAAATTGTGTCAACTTCACTTCATTTTTATATTCCAGCTTAATTAGTTTTGTTCTGACTGAAGAAAAGTATTGGTCTCGTTAAATCCGAACAAACAAAAAGTTAAATTTTTGCTATGGATTTTTTGTGCCATCCATTTTTTGTGCTACGAGTGAAACATACCTTTTAAGTATAAATCACTACTGTTAGTGCAAAGGTCGTATGTAAAAGTTTTCAATTTTTATTCTATTTTTGACATTCTGTAGTCTGCAATTGATATAAGTAGTCTACTACTATGAAAAATAGCAGTCTGCCATAAAATATAAAATTATACTAATAAATCATAAAGAAATAATTTTATGCTCTCCTATAAAACATTAAATTTCTATATACGTCATTTGCACTAACAGTAGCGAGATACATATTCAGTATACACTGGATTCTCTTTTTTTTAATTACGAATTATTAATTATGCAATCTACAAATGCGGAACTTTTTCGCAAATCATTGTATGCTGATAAACCAAACTAGTGGATATCAAGCCCGTATATGTAGAGGGATTACTGAATTTCCGTAAAATGGCTTCTTCCAGAGATTTTATTCTCATAAGAAACTTTTTAGATATTCTTTAGCAAATGAAAACGGTAAGGAAGCTATACTGACCTTACTTGGCAGACGTTTTCCCATCAGTGCCATTCTCATTACTAATTTTAATTAAAGCGGTAGCACTGACCGAGGGGTAAAATGATGGAATCGGATGATTATTTTTTGCTGAATCGAGAGCTTGGATCCGCTGAAACCTGCGCAGCATGGAGACAATCTACACCAGCCCTGTTAATGGAAAGCTGCAGATCGCAAGGACTATTGGACACAATCAGCTGCCCATTTGTTGGAACAATTATAGTGCAATCTAAGCGGCCTGGCTTGTCAACAGGATTCAATGAACTCCCAAACCAAAATATATCTCACACAAACTCTCTGCTAAGGCTCATCCGTTATTTCTGTATTGCTTCATATATTTATAGTTTTGTTTTATGCTGATATATCGTCGGCACCATATCAATGTAACGAATGTGAGCCTGCCATACGTTGGACATTCGTTACTTTAACATGATGCTTACTATATAAACAGAAATTAAGTTATGAACTCGCAAGATCAAAATCTCAAATGATGAATTGTCAAAATGGCTTCGTCTGAAGTACCTTAAATAATCATAAATATAAAATACAATAAAATCATACATCCCCGTTCAAAAATGACTGATATTAATACAAAAACATATATTGTGCTGAAATATAGTAATTGCTTAATCAAAATAGCTGTTAGTTAGGATATCAATATGAAAACGAGACTTGCTTATACGAAACTGGTCACCGAACCTGCTCCACAGGGACACAGATATTGAAATATGTGATAAGAACTTGAAATATAACCAGCCTGAGTACTTGCAACTAGCCGACCGGTTCAAAGGAGGTGTGGACCATCGTGGCTGGGATCTAGTCCGCTCAATGGAGTTGCCACATCACTTGAATCGGTTAACATTGCGAAGTGTCCAACAGTTAGATCCTCCAAATAGAATAAGAGAGTTGAAATTTTGTATGTTAATTCAGTTAATAGCAAATTAAAAAACAAGAAATCTCAAATTAAAGGTGTACAATAACATGATAAAGCCAGTTCTGATATATGGCGGCGAGACTAACCAACATACTAGAAACAAGTGATGGAAGATTCTAGACTAAATATTCCGCATGGTACTTGGAGTGATCTAAGATGAGGGAATTAACGAAATAGGATAAAGGCCAATAAAGAGTTGCTTACAGAAACTGGTAAATCAATACCTCAGCAAGGAACTTCTAGACAATAATGAATGCCTCGATAGTAGGAATTGACCGCGTGGGAAGCCAAAAAGCAGATGGATACATCAAATCAACAAAGATGTAATAGCGCTGATAACAGCAGAGAAATAGCCCAAAATGAGCAGAGATAGAAAATCTGTTTTAGTCGGCAAAAGATCTATAAGGTCTGTAATGACAACAGAAAAGGAAATACTTTTTGAGAGTTTTAATTTTTTTTTTCCCGACCTATCAGTTACCAATGCATTAAATTCGGAAATAATTTATAAATTTTTTAAAAACCATAGATGAGAGAAAATTTAACATTTTAATTAGTTTTAAAATTATATTTAATTTCCTTATGTACACATTAAAGAAACACGTTTATGTCTGTTATTTAAACATAAATGAGAGGAAATAGTCGCTTAGTGATGGTTCTCCACCGCTCATTTTTCTTTCCCACCTACATAGTTTATTTTAAATAAGGAAATAGGAGGAATATAGAAAACTATAGAGAAAATTATATATTATTTTGCTGAATATTTAATTGTCTTAATTGACTTAAATCCAATCGCTGCCAGAGGAGCAAATGGCCTCAACGAACAACCTCCATCCATCTCTGTCAACAACCAGCGCGTTCACCTCACTCCAAGTCTTTCCTCCCTGCTCCGCCACATTCAGCAACGATCTCTTCTAGATGATGTGAGGTAGTCATTTTCGATGTGCTCTGTGGGGTTTCCAATCATCTGCCAATATTTCCACTGTTCCAAGCATTGGCGCAGACCTACGATTAGGATTGGGATGGCAATGGGCCAAAGAAAGAGTTTTTATTATGTGTAAAAATTCTACATAATTACAGTGAAACGTGTGTATATAATATTGAATATTTAAAATTAATTTGTTTATATGTTTGTAAAGCTCTAAGGAATTTTTTTCTTATTGCATATATTTGAAACATACAAATGAATATATAACGTATTTGTTTAAATTAAGCACAGAGAGGAGAGGTGGCAGCCTTCATAGCTTTCTTGTATTTCTAGAATTTTTTCAGCTGAAAATGGATTATGTAAAAAAGAGAAAAATATCTTCGATTTCTTAGTTTATACAAACTCAAATAAAAAGACAACGTTTTTCACAGTTCAACTAGCTTGCAGCGGAAAATGTGATAATAATATCACTTGAAAATTTAGGATTGATTGAATCATAAAATCCTAGGATTTGTTTATATATATTATTATCTTTGAATATAAATTACAATTTAAATAAAAGTAACATTTAGGTATCAATAAAATAGTTACATACCTACTACTAGAACCTAGCCTAGCCATCTAGTCGACTTTTCTTAATCTATTTTAGTGTACACATTGTATTCATTGATTTGGCTTATTTACTCTTGATTTTAATTTCTTAATTTTAATGTTTCACTTTTTCGGGCAATTTGATGTTGAAAACGCGTCGGAGCCAGCGATTGGTAAATATCTCCAGCCTCCTGACGAACATTCTCGTGTATACTTAATTATCAATAAATAACTAAAAACTTAAGAGAACTTGGAGATTCAAAGCCAAAACTGTACATTCTTAATAGGAGTAACACTGATCTGAATCATCGCTCCAAGAGAAGTGGACAAATACTTCTATTTTTTTCAGTACCACAGTCTAGTACTTTAACATTTTATGAACATTCCTTTAGAGAACATGGGATCGAAGCGAAAATCCAATAACAAATCGAATTGCACACAGTGTTGTTTTATCCAAGTTGAGTTGTCATTGGACTAGAGTAATATTTTTGTTTAAAATACTGGTCTGCCTAAACAAATTGAGTCACCTTAAATCATTACTTAACATCTACAAATACAAGGTTTTATAGTTGGTGGAACACAATGTGCCCGACTGTCTATGAATCGCTCCGTGCCTCTGAATTCGTAAAGGAAGGCAGTCATAAACTGAAACAGTCCAAAGGAATGTACTTTTCTTTGTTCCATGAATATACATTACTGCTGGCTAAAATCGTGCTCATCTCATTCCTGTATTTAACAATTACTCATTAAAGTAATTAGTCAAAACGGAGGTTTGCAAAATATTGTGTCAAAACTGATGTAACAACAAATCGACAAAGCAATAAAATAAGACGCTAAATAAATGATGACATTTAAAACTGTCATATATTTTTTCTATTTATAAGATTTTAAGTCTTTCAGATCTATTTAATTTTTTAATTATATTGAACGCACTCCCCTATATGTATATTATCTTGTTTTGATTTTTTTTTCTTCTATCCATCTACGTCTTAGTATATAGATTATAAGACTTCTCTAATTTCTACAATTCTATCATAATTATTAATTTGACATATTAAGAAACAGATGTAAATCATTTATTGTAAATATTCATCTCTTTTATTTTCATTTTTAATTTTTACATTGGTTTGCCTACAAAAGCAATTTAACATTATTTTCAAATTCCATTTAGTTATTTCTTACTTTATTGTTTGTAGAAGCTATTTTGCAGTATTGTGAGTTTATAAGGCATATTTGTTTCTTTAATATATCTTTATAGCTATGTAAATACTTCTCTTATGTTTTATATTACTTATGTTTTAATTATTATTTTATTGTAATAGGTATTTTGGACAGATTTAATTCTGATCAATATTGTTATTCTTAAGGGACTTAGTCTAAGAATAAAGTTGATTCTTCTATTCTATATGTTTAATATATGATATATATTTTTTTATGTCCACTCCTACTTCGCCTTCAGGCTATAAGGGAAATTTCAAGAGCCAGGGAGAGAGCGGGGATTAATGATTAAAAGTCCCTCACTCTCCGTTATCGGGACGCAAACTCGTAATTATTATCTGCAAATTTCGGCTCAACCATCCCGCCCCCAATACATAATAATCTATCATACAAGTGATTCAAAAAACATCTATATACATCCATGTAAATCCAAATCTTAAGACATTTCAAAATTAAATAGATTTTCCTATTTGTACATTGGCCTGGCTGAATTTAAAAGTATCATATTTACATTATCATGATGATATTTACAGCATTAATTACTGATAATTGTTACATGCTGTATTTATTTAAGTAATAAGGATATTATGATTTAATGAATATAACCAACATCAGCTAGATTTGCAATAAAGATGGTGAAAAAATAAGTGGTGTTTGAGAAATGTAGAGGCACTTTTGATAGAATGGGTACGCTGAAAAGAAATGGCACCAATATTAAATGACTTGCTTGTTTAAACAATTTTATTAGAGGGGGTATAAACGTTTTTGGGGGTAGGATGAATGTATCCGGCATATATATGTGACAGACTCTATTGAACATAAGGAACATAATCGTAAAATGAGATAAAATACTGCATAAATGATGAATTAATAAAACTTCTGGATAAATAAATGAAACAAGAAAACTTCGATGATGAATCTAATGAAACAAATCATTAGTTTCTTATGTATTACCACAAGATTACCAGATAGTGACAGACAAAGATGGGAAAAATACATCCTGGAATCCTGGAACTGATATCGAAATATGGAATCATAGAAACTGATTAAGGATAGCGAAGTATGATTACGTGAACTGAGAACTTTTTCCGTACCAAGACAAATCTAACCAAAACTGTCTCCGAAGTTTTAACAGAAGTGTGAAATTACATGAGTAGGATATTGAAATAAAGTAATGTTCAATAAGAAAGAGAATAAAATGTGAACTTTAATACGTATATATTATATTGTGTAATCATAATAAGATATTTTTGTAGTAATTTTTATTCCTAAAATATAGTTTTCTTATTCTATTCCTATGACCCCATTGGGCTTTTGTAGATATCCTCCAGCAAGTTTCTATCATGATTTTCACTGTCTCGGCCTAGGTTAAAAATAAATTTAAAACATCAGGTATGGTGCATAAAAAAATATTGAATTACAGCATTCCGTGAAAACAATACCTCATCATCAAACCGTAATAATGCTGAAGTTTTATCTATCCGACGGCAATTCAATAGCTACAATAAAGTCAGAAGCAATGAAGAGAACAATTGGTTATAAAATAATAATAAATATCTGAGATAAGTCGATAAATTGAAGGCAACTGCGGAGGTGAATCATTTTGCAAGATGGGGGAGCAATATTGCTTTGCGTTGCGATATATTATTTTTTGCTGAGGCTTCAACAGAATAGGTCTCTGTTAGTTTTAGTAAACAGCTTTTTTTTCATAACCCATTGATACAGCAATATTAACTATAATGTAAGATTATGAAAATATTATTTAAATTTAATACTTTGAAAAAAAAACCAATCCAATATAGCTGATACGTATATTTGCACATGAATAGGAATAGAAACAATCATCATGATTAATTTTTCATTAAAAAAGAGTATGCAAATTATTACACAATGATTTATTACTTCCAACTTGTTATATGTTTATGGAGAATGGATATCCGTGGGGTAAATATCTTTGAGAAATGTGGAATAAAAATCATCAACGATGGAAAGAAAAACTCAATAAATGCGAAAAAAATGTTATAAATAAATAAAAAACAATTGTGTCTTAATATCTTTCATGATGCATGAAAAAAATAAAGCACTAAAAAACTAATAATTCTTAGTTTGCAAAATTGTATACAAAATTTGAAAAACTGTTAGCTCTCTTATAAACAATCGATTGAAAAATAGGTTTTTCAGCTATCACTCTATATTGCTCTTATGATGTATAATTCGAATAGTACATAGTTAGTGGTAGTCGAAACCACACCAAAATAAAAATTATGCACTTTCCATGCCTATTTTTATGGAGTTTTCTGAGACAAAAACATTGTCAAAAAATTATTCAGTATTAATTTATTTACTTCCCAATAAAACATTATTCGTTAACAGGATAGTGTTACCGTTGAATGTTAAATTTATTTAGTTGTAAATTAAATCTTAACCCACCTTTTTATTTTAGCCATGTCTTGATTTTTATACCATGCGGAAGTTTGGCATAATTTGGCAAAACGGTTTGAAAAAACAATGGTGCGGCCTTCCGCACTCCACCTAGAGGAATTTTCTTTGGCTGGTAATAATATTTTTTTGTTGTTGTTTATTTAATGGAATTTACAACTGTATACAAATACAACTAGTAAATATGCGCAAATATAAATAATGGCATGTATAGGCTTGAAGAGTTAGTACCCAGTGGTAGCACTCTCTAAATAATTTTAAGTAAGAAGATCACGAGGCCATCTCCTTTTCAGACGCCTAGGAGGATTATCAGGAATCGAGGAAGAAGCAAGAGTGGAAACAAGCGGATTTGGATGGGACTGAAGTTTATCATGAAAGGATAGATATCTGGCTCGAGCTAAATCAGCGACATATGGTACATTAAGGTCTTTATGAATGGTTTTATTTGTGACAAAGTATGGAGCATTAAAGATTTTACGGAGGATTTTGGATTGTAAGGATTGGATACGATAGGAATTCGATGGTTTGGTGGAGCCCCAAAGCTCAACTCCGTATGTCCATATAGGTCTTATTATAGTTATGTAGATAAGTCTTTTGTAATTAATAGAAAGTTTGGAGCGTTTGTCTAGTAAGTGTTGGAGCAGTCGGAAACGTCGAGCAGTTTCTTGTCGTTTCAGTCTAGTATGAGAATTCCAAGTAAGACGTTTATCCAAATGGAGTCCTAAGTAGCGGATTTGGTCAACAGGAATAAGTGGA